TGGACTTCTCGGTCTCCAGAACTGTGAGAGACAAATGTATATTGTTTATAAGCGCCTGGTCTGTGGCATTTTTTTAATGTTTATTTATTTTTTAGAAAGAAAGACACCATGATTGGGGGAGGGGCAGAGAGAGAGGGAGACACAGAATCAGAAGCAGGCTCCAGGCCCTAAGCTCTCAGCACGGAGCCCGATGTGGGGCTCGGACTCACAAACAGTGAGATCACGACCCGAGCCAAATTCGGACACTCAACTGACTAAGCCACCCAGGCGCCTCAATTTTATTTTATTTTTAAAATGTTTATTTTTGAGAGACAGAACGCAAGCTGGGGAGGGGCAGAGAGAGACCGGGGCGGTGGGGGGGGAACACAGAATCCGAAGCAGGCTCCGGGCTCTGAGCTGTCAGCACAGAGCCCGATGCGGGGCTCGGACTCACAAACTGTGAGATCATGACCCGAGCCGAAGTTGGACGTTCAACCGACTGAGCCACCCGGGCGCCCCTGGTCTATGGCATTTTTGTTACAGCGGCCCCAGCAGATGGAGACAGGGACTCCCAACACACCTGGCTCAAATCCACCACCTTTATGAAATTAATTTTTTAAGCGCCATGCAGAACCCAGTATATGCAAAAAATTCTGCCAAAAGCCTCGTATGCATCAGCTCGGATATTCTTAAAAACTCCGCAAAGCAGGTATTATTAAAACTGGCTCACGGCAGAGGAAATGCAGGACGGTCGGTAACATCCCCGAAACTCCTCCAACGCCTGCACTCGTACACACACCGTGTGGTGGTTTCTCTGTTGTGACTGCTGTTTCCCAGTGTGGTAAGAAGAATGCACGGACTTCTGCCAGGCACTAAGGTGAGTAGGCAACAGGAACCTCTCCTATTGCCCTCATGCCCTCACGCTCCTGCTCGTGGCAGAGCCCTGTGTCCCTGCAGGACCGCTCTGTCTGAGGACCTCACCTCTGGCTCTTTCGCGGAGTGAACTGTATTCAGGTCGCGGTTACTTGGGTCCTAGAACCTGCGGGCACCGGGGCTGCAGCACTGAACAAAACAAGAATTCTGAACCACGTGGATTTTAAATTCTCTTGGGAGGAAAATGATAAATAAGAAAATCAAGTTGCCGTACTACGGGAAATGTGCCACACAAGCGGGTTCGGAAGAACGTATATATGTTGACGTGTGTGTTTGTGTGTCATTGATCTCTGTGTGGCTATTGACATAGATACATATGAATGACTGGCTGCAGGGCAGAGGAGAGGAGAGCAGGAAAATTAATCATTTCTGATTATACTGCAGTTAGATACCTAAATCGCTAAAAAACATACACACATGTACATGTTACATACACACATGTAACGATATGTGTGTACGGAACTCTATGGGCAGAACCACAAATATACACATACAAGTCTTCATATACTTCTACGTATTCGTTACCCCTGGAGAGGGAGAGGGCCTGCCTGGGGTTCACTTCAAGTGGGGCTTCTCGTGTGAAGGCTTGTTCTACATTTACGGCTGAATTTCACTGCACGGAGGGTTCTTTTTTAAGTTATCTGTCAACTGAACCTGTGTCAAATGCATTTTCCTGCACTGGTGCTATATCACACAACAGAATATGCTAAAACCAATTCGTGTGATTTACGTGTAATGCTCCCAAGAGACGTCAAAAGCCATTTTATAATATTCAGCAATCATACATAAAAAATCTTACCACTGGGCTGGGGCGCCTGGGTGGCGCAGTCGGTTAAGCGTCCGAC